GAATTGGTCATATATTTTTGGACATTTCAGTATTTTATATTTGTAATGTTGGATTTGTCGTATTTTACATTTGTAATGTTGGATTTATCGTATTTTATATTTGTAAGATTGTTGGAATTGTCGTTTTGTAATGTTGGATTCGTAATGTTGGATTTTAAAATTTTTAGCTTCTAAAAGATTAGGTTTTAAGCTTTTAAAGTTATTAAAAATAGTCTTTTTAGCCTAAAACAAAACAAATTTTTAGCAAAAAAATTCAATTTTAAACCTATAAACCGGGGGAACGGGGGCGGGACCAGGGGCGATGGAGGTATCCGGGGGCGGGGGCAGCTATTTCCGCTCCCGTTTGGTCTCGTTGACATGCCTAAATTAAACCAACACTTTCCCGAACTAACTAATTATGGATGCTCTAACACGTGGGTTAAAAAAAATTATTGGTCTAAAAAGCAACTCTTGTCAATCATAATCAGATAAGCGATTATAGATATTGTGATAATTAAGAAGTAAGCATTTTATTCTTAAAGGTTGTTTGATATCTTTTTTTAAGTTTCGTAAAAGATAAGATCTGACTCACTTAGATTTAGAGTGTTTGATAATACAATTAATACAATTAAAAGTATTTCATTCAGTCATATAGCTTTTGATATGTCTCTTATTGGGTTTAACTCAATCAACCACGACTCAATTAAATCTGACTTAAACAACAAGTATCAAAAAAGTATTATTCTTTTATTCCAAATTTAGCATTCATGTTGGTTAAGATCAGAACAAGACAAAAATAATATTCATATGATTGTTAGAGTTCAAATATGCTATAAAATTCTTGAACACGTAACTAAAAAATAACAATGTTAATTTTGTATATATTCTAAAAATCATTTTGATGAACTCCTTGTAAAATTTGAACATCGCATGTTCTACTATATATAAATAAAGAGCTCTATATGATGTTGTAAATAAGGGTTATTATGGGCAATATAATGTTATTGATTTGAAGTAATTAAATGCTAAAATATAAAGAAAAAAGTAAGTCATATCATCTGGATGGGACTCATTACATCGGTCATGTAGGCAAATCGCAAAGCACTTTCAATATTTTGGACGTGCAATGTTTGAACATTATTTATTTTTTATTTTTTATTTATTTATTTTTTAAATTTAATATCTCAACTGCTAGACTTACATATGGACAACAATGCTAGAGTATAAAGATATTAATTCTATAAGCTTACCTTTATATATGATTTGTTGATAACTAAAAGGTATGGTTTTTGATCTAATAATCCAAACAAATTCTCTATCCTTTTGAAGTTATTATAACATATTCGTCAAAACATAACTTTTATTAATCATGAGTAAATTGTGTAACCAAATGATGTGTTATATGGTCATGCAACATGATTAGGTATTTGGTGCAACTATTGAACTGAACTTCACATCTTTTACATCATTTCCTTATACTAGCGATATAACATTACATGATTAGCTGGATTTTTTAGGTCATGATATCCAAAAAGATGATGACCATACATTTTACTACATTAGCCTAAACTTCACATCGTTTACATCATTTACTTATTGTTTTCTATTCTTATAGGGGACTTGAATAGGCTTCCAAATGACAAGATTTCGTATCACCAAACTTTCTAACCATGTACATATATATAGAGCGAGTAATTAAGAACAATTATGTTATACATATAACATGGTTGATCTGTACTCGATATCTTTTTGTAAAACGAGATCTACCTTGCTCATAAATTTCTCCAAACATATACATGTTCTTGTTATTGGATCGAAATTTAGACACCTGTCACTTGGATAAAAGACTCCTAGATTCCAAATAATCGATGGAATCAAGAGATTCCAAATTTAAAAAAAAAAAACAAGTGTCGATCACGCTGCCGACTGGCCATGCACTTACACATGGCAAGATCCCTGAAAGACTCGTCATAGATACCAACATGTACAAGTAGAATCAACAAGCTATGTTGTGGCAGCTTGTACCTTGACATGGGAACTTGAGTTAAAGTTGTACTTCCAAACAGTATAACCAAAAAACGAGATTTTGTGAGAAAAGCAAGTGAGTTGTAAGGTTACCTAGAATTCTCCACAAGTGCTAATATTTACATAGAACAATTCAAAAGACACGTGATATATATGGGTTTTGTGGACAACAATACAGCCATCAAAACACAAAACTAGTGGGGTCCCAAATGAATATATATTTGGATATGTATAATCAAAGTAAGGATTAAGATGTTTAAGAAGTAGATTCGGTTAGGTTTATTTATTTATTTTTTTCATTGTTGCAGTAACTTGGTACATTCTTCAAAAAAGTAATATTTTTGATTTTACAAAAATTTTAATCAGAATCATACTTATAGTATTCATCACATCTAACCAACTACTTAAAACAATATGTCTTTTTAAATTTGTTGGTATTAAAAAGATACATCTTGTTTTTTATTAAGACTTTTATTCAAATTTACTTATATATTGTTACACAAGAAAAAACAAAACAAGGCAATGAAATCATTAAATGACACAAAGACTTAATGTGGTTCAGTCGATATAACTTACCTCTACGGGCCGGACCGGAGAACTTTTTCTATTACACGACTGTTACAAAGTAATTACAATGGAATCTTAATTACGAATACTTATAATTGTAAAACCTAGAAACTATAGGATCAATCTCATATACTAGTAAATTGAGAATAATTAAATAGGTTCATAGCTTAACATACATCGACTATAGGCCCAAGCCCATACACTAGTAAATCTGAAGTCGTGTACGGTTGAGTACCGTTAGCTAATCCAAAAACATATCCCTTTGAAATTACCATTCGAGTTTTCTTCATTCCATTTCAATCATAGTATTTATTCGGGTCACCAAATTCCAAGTCATACGCAAAACATATATCAATTACAAATTATTTTCATATTATATTATGATCAATATGACGCATAAAGGCGGTTTTGGAACTATAGAGGACAAAAACATCTAGTTTAGATAAGTTCAATTTCATATCTCTTAGGTGATAATCGAGCGTGGTTGTATGTGATGTCGTCCGGTTTCTTAAGGATTTTAAATCTTCTGTAACTTTCAACAAAGGTAAAAAGTCGATTAATATTTTTTTCCCACGGGTGACTGAATCATTATCGCTTATAGACTAAAGGCCAATCAATCTTATCGGATGCATGTATAAAATTGTGGTAAAATCATTGGTCGAGGCTAAAAATCAAACTATATTGAAGGTAGAAGGATTCTTAAATGGATATATTCTATAGCAAATAAGGTTGCTAGATAGCCAAAACCTTAAGACAAAAATTTGTGTTTATGAAGATGACGTATGATAAGACCTTTGACTTTCTTAGTTGGGTTCACCTTGATTTCGTGATGAATATAATGGGCTATGAGTCTAAATGACACTAGTAGATCAAACGTTGTATGGAATGTGCCTGCTCTTTGGTGTTAGTAATAGTTTCCCTATTGGGGGGATATTATCAAACTTTTTTTTTAAGATGATGACTCCTCCGTCACGTGGTACTACTGATTTGTTACTTTCAGCGGGTTATATAACCCATTCTATTATTTTCCATATATGCATTACATTATATTTGTATACTTAGTACCATATATAGTTTTATATGTTTTTAATTAATTTGTGAATTAGTTTTGTATGTTTTTAATATTTTGTAAATTAGTTTTATATGATTTTTATTAGTTTGTTTTTATTTTAAAATTAAAATTTAAGTGAGTTGGAAGTGATGGAAAAGATGAGTTAACATGTGTTGTGAGATGAGAAAGATGGAAGATAAATGAAAGAAAAAAGAATAGGGATGAAAGAGATAAATACCCTTCACTCTTATTGATCCACTTTCAACATTTTTGATCCACTTTCAACATTTTTGTTCATTATTGTCATGAAAAGGTCTTCAAGTTGCCATGATAGAAGTTTGTAAGAGAAATATTTTCATGGTAAAAAATTACCTTGTAAATGTCCTACTTCTCTCATCTTTAAAGCACAAACGATGTCATTTTCTTCGGGGAACTATATATCATCAAATTTATAAATATCACTAAACTCCTTTACTGTGTTCAACTTCCCTCATGTTTCAAAGTCACTTTACAAAAAGTGAAGTATTCGATATAAGATTTTTAGAGTTATCTAGCATGTTATGTTCATCGTGAATCTACTTCGTTTCCATTTCATTTTATATATTTGGGGCTTCTTGTAGGTGATATTATTATATGTCTTAATGACAAGTTGGTTTGCATAACATTTATTTAATTACAAAAGCAACTGATTTTGCCTAAAAATGTCTACTTTGATTATGATTTGAACTAAAGGTATATGAAGTTGAAGAAATGTGCAAATTGCATAAATTATTTATTAGAATATAATGTCAAAAAGTATTTCTAATTTTCTATGGAATTAAAATTGGAAAAGAAATCTTAAAAGAAAGTGAGGATCCTAGGTTATTAAGCCTCGTAGGAATGTGGGAAAATCCCATCTACAACGAGACCCTCACTTCATTTTGATATATCTCAACCTGAATTCTCAAGGGGGCTAATGTGATCTACCTCATGATATGTAGTGAGTAAGAGAGATCGAGTGGTCAAAAAGATCACATTAAACCATGTAGGACAAACACCCCCTCCTTTAAATCTTCGGACGGGCAACCTAAGATTTGGGGGTCAGGGACACCAAAACTTTAACAAACGTTGTGGTTGCTCAGAAGAATGTTGCACCAGTGTCACCTTCATGCCCTGTTATTTTTCTAAAACCTGCTGCAAGAACCTTGGACTGGGTGGAATCTGTTCTGACTGGGGAAGTGTTTAATGCCCAACAAATTACAGACATCCCCACCGTCATGCAAATAGATGGAAACTATAGCGGGAAAGTTTACTTTGTTGGAGGCTTAAAGATCTTGATTAAATTTATTAATAAAAAGGATGCAAACTTATTCTACGCTAATGAATATACCTGGAATAGATGGTTCAAATACAGGGTTTCAATGATGATATAAGGGGAGAAAGAATTCCACCGGTCAGAATTCATGGTGTTCCAGTAGGATTCCGCTCTGAATCAAACTATGCACAAATTGTTGAAGCATTTGGCAGAGCAATCGAAACTTTTGGGGCAAATTGGGATGTTTTCGACATCTCAACTGGGCAAGTTTACATCCTTACAAGGTCCATAGAGATTATCAATGGGGAAGTAGACATAAAATTTGAAAACAATATATACAGGGTGGGAGTGGTAGAATATGACAGAGATTGGAGTCTGTTTGACAACACTACATGGAACAAGCAATCTGATTATGAAAATGATGTTAATGTTTAACGCCCAGATCCCTGGTATGCATTAAATATTTATTTATTCATTTTATGAGAAGGACTCGACGAGTTGGTGGCCCTAACTTGTCGAGTGGATGTCAGATTATGCGCGGGGTTTAAGCTGTCTACTCGACGAGTCGAGAGCCCTCGACTCGGCGAGTAGACCGGCCAGAGTAAAACCCTAATTTCAGGGTTTTGCACCCTATTTAAGCATCTTAATCCCCACCCCTTAGCCTCATTTCCAGCCTCCAAGTCCCAAACCCTATTCCACGAAACCGTAGAGCATTTTGTGAGTTTGGGAGCATTTTGTAAGTGATTTTGTGTGCTCTTGAAGCTAGAAGCTAGAAGAAGAAGCTAGAAGGTTCAAGGAGAAGATAGTAGATCCAGAGATTTCGTCCCGTTCTCATCATTTTCTGGTAATCAAGCCTTAAACTTGTCTTGTAGTTTCTTAGATCTCCTTATGGTCACTTTTATGGAGTTTTTGTCTAAGAAGCTTGATTTATGAGACTTGGACGTCCCAAGTTGATGTTACTTTCAGATCTGGAACCATTAAGGGCTGTTATGGCATAAAGGTGCAAACTTTATGCCTTTGGAGCCCCATGCAAGCCTTTAGGATGATATCATGGCCTTTTATGCCCTAAAAGTCCATGTATGTGGGAAAAGGTTGAAACTTTACGTATTCAAGTGGTGTTAGGAGAGTAGATCTGAAGTTGTAAGCCTTAGTTTGGTGAATGGATGGCTTAAGGACCAAGTTCTAGGTCCCAAGGAGTTAGGGTTTGAGCTAAACCTTTTAAGAAGGGGTATTAAGGGGTAAAGTCAAAAATTTTACCCTTAAAAGGACAATTTCAGGGTTATTGTGAAGTATGAAGCTTGGATCTGAAGTGTAATGGCTTAATCCTTTAAGATAGCCCAAACAGAAAGGGGAACTCGGCGAGTCCAGTAAGGGACACGATGAGTTGAAGTTGGGTTGTCCTGATAGTATGCCAGGTAGAACTCGACGAGTCTGTGAAGGGACTCGACGAGTTGACTCGGTTGACCACGAGTCCGAGTTGTGCAGGAACTCGCCGAGTTAGGAGATAACTCGACGAGTTGGGTTGATTGGGAGTTGACCTTGACTTTGACTTTGACCAGGACGTTGACTTTAACCAAGGGTAAAATGGTCATTTTACCCTAAGAAGGATTAGTAGATTCTGAGTAAGTGTTATTGTGAAATTGATAGTCGGGGAGTCATTGGAGCAGCCGTCAGGGATTCCTCACACGAGATTTCACAGCTAGCATTCGAGGTGAGTTTCCTCCAGTAGTAACGAGTCTAAGGCACCAAGGTCGGCCCGTTTAGTTAGTAGTAGTTCCGGACTATGGTCTGATGTCGGGCGGGGCCCGATGTAGGTTTATATGCTTTTCCGGATTCCGATCCGATGACGGGGCGGTCCCGAGAAATGCTTGTATGCTTGATGTCTTTGTGATTCTTACATGTGTTTGTATTGTATATTTCCGGACTTCGGTCCGATGCTGGGACGGTCCCGAGGAATGTTAGTAGGTTACCGAATTATGGTCCGATGTCGGGCGGGGCCCAAGGAATGTTTAAGTGTTAATATTATGTGCTTAGGTTATGTGTATTGATGTTATGCTCTTATGTATTCCGAGATTTCCTCGATGCCGGGCGGGGCCCGATGCCGAATAGGGTTCGATGGCGGGCGAGGCCCGATGCCAGGAAAGCCGATACCGAGCTTGACTCGATGTAGCTTGGGCGGGGCCCAATATATGCTTATGTGTTATGTGTATGGTATGTGGTAGTTGGGGAGACTCACTAAGCTTCGTGCTTACAGTTTTCAGTTTTGGTTTCAGGTACTTCCACTAGCAAGGGGAAGGGCTCAGGATGATCGCATGACACACACCACAGTTTTAGCCTTGGATTGTTTATACTCTGATATTTTTCTCATATGATTTTGATACAGTATTTGACATGATGTTTTGATATACATGATTCTTGATTTTTTTTAATGATGATGGATGATTTATGGTCTTGTTATAAGTTTTTAAAACAAAATTTTTGGTCCATATTTTTTAGATGTTGCAAGTTGGTATCAGAGCCTTGGTTTGAGGGATTCGGGAACACTCTCGGGTGTATCTGAACTCAAACTAAGGACATGGTATGAAAAATTTCAAAAGAAAATCATTTTTACAAAAAGAATTTTTAAAAGAGAAAAGAACTTTGAAAATAGAAAAAGGGTGTGCTGCATGCAATCAGCCGAGCTCAAGTAAGTACTCCCAAATTACCCATACAAATTTATGTTATGATATGTTTATGAGAATTGCATGCTAGATTAGGACTAAGGATCTAGGAAGGATGCCTTATGTGCCTATCATATGTGTATCAGCTTTATGAGAATTGCATGCTAGATTAGGGTTAAGGATCTAGGAAGGATGCCTTATGTGCCTGTTATGTGTATCTTAGCTTTATGAGTCGCATGCTAATACAGATTGGTTAGTGATGGCCTGAATGTGATATGCTTGATTATGTGTACTCGATGCTCGAATGTTGCTTGCTATGTGCTTCTAGGAGTTCTAGTTATCTCTTACTAACTAGTAAATGAATATGTTAAGTTACATATTGCAAGGATTAAATACTTTCAGAAGGTTAGGTCTAGCTCTATTATGCAGCTCTTGTTTGAGTCGAACCGTTGTAGGGTAGGATCTCTCATTCGAATAATTGTCTAGTCTTAGTGATATGTAATAGTATTCATAAGCTAGTTAGGGGGAGATAGCAAGGACTTCTTATGCAGCTGATAGCGAAGAGTGGGTTGGTGATTACCCTAGGGCAAGCCTAAGATGAGTTTAGCATGAGATCAGCAGTAGTAGTAGAAGGTACTTGGTGAAGTCAAGAGAGTTCTTGTGGAAAGTACGGATAGATGTGGAAGGTAGTATGGGCCTGTACTACTGAAAGCAGAGGATCCGTACCCGAATTAAGAGAGGCTGAGATGAATCCAGGAAACTTGTAGTATGTTAGATCCCTCGAGATATGATGAGTATACTGATGTTTGTTATGGTGTATATTCAGTATGGTGACGCTACGCACTAGGCCGATTGGCACTTTAGGCACTGGTGAGGGATCATGCTCGGGCTCTGGAACCGAGCAGATGGATGAGCAGACGAGGGAGTTTATTTCGTCTGAGATCAAGCGCAACATTTTAGAGAAGACTCCTGTGATCTTTGGTTCGGTCAAGGAGGGTATTTTGGAGCTTCTGGATGAGAAGCTGAGCGCGTTCCGTACTGAGGTGGCGGCCATGATGGGGTCGCGCACACTGACATTCTGGGAGTTTAGGGCTTGTGGAGCTCCTGACTATCATGGGGATCGGGACCCCATTGCTAGTAGCAGATGGTTGGCTGATGTCGCCAATGCATTCCATACGAGCAGATGTCCTGAGGGGGACAAGGTCCGACTTGCATCATGTCTTCTGAAGGACAGGGCATGCGATTGGTGGGAGGAGGTTGGACGAGCCATTGGGGATGACCTGGAGTGATTTCTCGTCCAGGTTCAGGGCTGAGTTTGCACCTGTGATTAAGGTGCAACAGCTAGCGAGGGATTTCCAGGATCTTGAGCAGACGACAGAGACTGTGGCGGAGATCACCGCCAAGTTTAGGGAGAGGGTCCTTCTTGTTCTGCAGTACGTGGCGGACGAGGAGATGAAGAATACCCGATATCATGAGATGTTGCGGAGTGATATCTGCCAGTTTGTGAGCCGCTTTAGCTGCAAGAAAATAAATAACCCTAAATCTTTTACACTAAAATAGTGTATAGTGGTAAAGGGGTCGAATCCACAGAGATTGGTTCAATTTGTTACTCAATGAAAATCTCTTTGTAAAAATACTTGTTAAATAACAATAAAATAAAAATGGGGGGTTTTGGTCTTTTGAAATACTTGAAATAAACTAAAACTAAACTAAGATTTAAATGGACAATTTAACAAAAACAAGAGTTTGATGTAAAATCAATAAGAGAAAGATGGTTGACTTAAGGTTTCCTCACTTTGACTTTTGATGAACAAATCATTAGAGCCCAATGGTGCAATACTTGATTTAAACCCTTAATTTGGCTGTAGTAATCCAAGGAGCTTGAGATTACCTAGACTTTTCTTAGTTGTTGAAATGGTTAGAGAAGTTGATAACAATTTCCTTAGTCAAAGTCACTAATTCCAATAAGCATGTAATTAGTGAAAGTCAACTAGCATTAAGAACCAAAAAGTCACCAAATCCAAGAGGAGTCAAAAGCTTCCACTACCATGTTGGAGAAAATGTTTTTATGATTGTGTGAAGTAAAACTAACACAAGAATCACTTGTTGCTTGCTAATTTGAAGATCCTTTACTTAATCAAGAAATTAGCCAACTAATCACCACAAACACATTTTAACTCATGAATAAAAATATACAAGCAATGATAAGATGTTAAAACACAAAACATTTTCATAAAGATTCAAACACAAATTCATGGATTCTTCAATATTCAACAAAAGTTCAAAGGATTCAACAAAAGTCAACCAAGATTTGTTTAGCCAAGCATGGCTAAACTTACGAAAACAAAGTTAGTAAAGATTGTACCAAACATTTAGCAAGAATTAAGAGGTGAAATGATGAAGTTCTTGAGGGTTCTTGGCCTTCAAAATGCTCCAAAACTCCAGAGAGAATGCCTCCAAATCGGATGTAAAAGATAAGGATGAAGAGGCATACCAACCTTCCTAATATAGAGATCCAAATGAAATCCCGAAATTGCCCCTGCAAGAACCCACGCGGGCCGCGTGACTATGACGGAGTTTTTTTTGGCTTTTTCAAGTTTTGGGCCCCCACAGCTATCCCATTGGCCCGGTTCGAGTCTAATCAGTCTCTAGCCCATTTTTCTTCAAGATTTCTTCAATTTGAGCCCAATTTGACTTTTCCAAATCCTCTAAAGTTCTCGTAATCGCCCGATCATCAATCTCCGCACACTCGAAAATTCTCCCGCATCTTGCAAA